TTCTGTAAGTAATATGACCAATATATTTTGGACTGAAAAAATGTTGGTTTCCATGTGATATGTTATTTTCCTTTCTACATTTGCGATGCTTTATTATCAGATCTGAAAGGCTAGAAGACAAAGCGAAGTTTCACTCAAGTATTTTCCTTTCAAGGTTGCAACGAAGAGCAATAAGAAAACTGATTGTAGAAAATCATTACAATTTGTGTGAATTCTCCCAATGCAAATATTTGAAAAACAGTCCTTACCCGTCTTGTATGTCGTCAAAATTTAATATGCAGCGAAGATGAAGAAAAACATCAGGATGGCTGGGGTCATATTCATGAGGATAACAGATGCCAGGGCACTCGGTACGGTTTGTATAAAGATGAGAACTGGGGTTGAAATTTGGCTGATTGGAGACAGAGTTGAGATCAGGTGTCTGAGAATTTCAGATAAGTTATAGAGTGGCATATATTAAATTGTAGAATTAAACCAGGTTCTTTTCAGGTTCACAGAAAGAAACCCATTGCTTTTCGCGGTGGGGCTGAGATGGGGTAAAAATTAGGTCCTGGTCCCCCCCCCAAAAAAAACAAAGAAGAGAATTTGTATTTCAACATGAGCCCGAAAGGCCATAAAGGCTACCAAATCCTAAAATGTTTTGGCCCTCAGAAAAAGTTGACAACCCTTACACCAAAGGCAGGGTGCAAGGTGAAGATCTATTCGCAGTCCCATACATTCAAACAAGATACGTGGGTTTGTTGACATTATTTCGTGGAAAATACCAGGATGTGATTTTTAAAAATGACATAGAGTCGGTATGTGACGAAAATTCCAAGAAACATTTGGGAGAATCGGAAACATATTGAAATTCCCAGCGATACCTCGGAAATACGGATAATGAACAAGACATAACCTTTTTAAATATTTCGAAATAGAGTAGACATGAAAAGTGTTGCTCAGTATCTCATCTAATTGGTTTGTTTTGAGATATTTGAGAAGAAAATGAGTAACTAGTCACTGATCACAGTTTTAAAATCTACGAATTCGGTGCAGGTCTAGTCATTCTATGCTTTGTAGTGTAACCTGAGGCAATTTCTGACCACTTTAACTTCTCTTTTTAGCATTAATATTTTGCGAGATTTATTTCATTTTTAAAACAATAATCTGAAATATGAATCAACTGAAGTCTCCACACCGATTGACGCCTATGCACTATGAACCACCACGAGTGGCTCAATAGTTGACCTTTTACAATTCCATGTTGATTTCCAAAAGTCAATGTGCCTTGGGAATTCAGTTTTTGAGTTCCTCCTGCCTTTTTCGGTAGGGTGTTCTACCGTAGTTTGCTCTAATAGGCCAGTGTTTTATTCAGCCTTGGGTCATGTGGTGTAGTCCATACACGCGTGCGATCAATTGGCCCAATCAGAGCGGGCGTATACCAGCCCACACCTCAGATAATAGACGACGCTTTGCCTTTCCAACTCCCATATCACGTGTCAAATTAACTTCAGCGTCCAATGCTACACTTGGTTGATGCTGGTGTGATCCTAACATACTGAGTGCAGCATTTATTATACGGCTTGGCGTTGTACCCATTCGTCTTTGTTGCAGAAGAAACAAACGTTTTTTTTGTTTTTGTTTTTTTTTTTTAATCCGATTCCTAGGGCCTGTGTGTTTCACATGTATCTGGATCTCCATCGGTGATCCAAAAAGTTTTTACGACACACATTTCTACCTCTCTCTAGCCTTTTCCAAGGCGACTCAAATACACGACGTGTTGGCACGGCGGCTCCCTTGCGTCGTGCCGTCGCGTCACACCGTCGCCTTCTTGCCATTACGTTCGTACACACATGACGCGTCGCGTCGTGCCGTCGCCTGTCACGTCGCGCGTCTCGTCGTATTTTTTGTGGTGTTACGCGTCACGTATATTACGTCGCCTGAAGCACAACACGACGTACGACGAGACGCGACGCGTCGTTTGCTGTCGCCCTTTACTGCGCCATGGTGTTCATAGAGGGCGCGTTTACTATTTTCTTTCATTTCGTCCCCCGTGCTTGCATAGTACACGCTATCGGTTCTTTTTCATGCATTCTTTCTAACTTAGGGTTTTCATTAAGAAGGAGTTGTTCAAGAAAAGGTGTGTTTTTTAATCAAATGTAATTAGAAAGAGCGTCGCGATCAACTATCAGCCTTGTCTCCAGGAAATAAATAACATAAACGTCAGCCACATCGCTTGTCGTTTTCGTTTTAACTTTTCCTGTTCTAATTCTGATCTTTGTAATAATCATTGTTATGTGCTTGCTAATGCAACTTGCGGATTTGACGAGAAATTACGTGTGTGGCCAAAAATTTGAAGAAAAGACACCGTCACAATGATATTAGTGTCTACAGTGTTTTATACAGAAACACTGACTAACATTTTTGAAAGTGTGGAGCTGATGAAGTTAACGAGGAAGACTGAATTTTTATATAAGAAATTTTCACACTTCAATGTCACAGGGCCAGTTACTCTCCATGAATAGTTTTTAACTTACAGAGCCAACAATTTGTAGCCTATCCGAATCAAATGCAGATGGAGCTGCCGAAGTCTAATTTCCTACATTGAACAGCCAACTACTTGAAAATGGAGAGGAAGTTGGAATATATGACCATTTGCTTTTGTACGTATTGCTGTTTCTCGACGGCATAGAGGTTGTGCACGGCAGCCGTGTTTCCAGTAACTGTTTTTGTTAGGGAGAGATAGCAGAAAGGTCTGCTTTCATTTCGGCCTTTCACTTCTGGAACTACCGTTCCTACAATCATGGCCAAATCTCGTTGGGCACCCTCTCAATGTTAGGTCTCAATGCGCGGCCTGCAGGCAGCTTGAGGTGACAATAACGACCGAGGAATCGGGGGACCTGGGGAGGGTAACTGTGAATGTCTGTGGATAAGTGCCCCAACAAGTTTGGCCAGGATTGAAGAGCATCATCTGATGGTGAGGACTAGTAGATCACGTCTCTTAGTATACTGCGCTTGGAAACTGAGGTTATGCAAATTAGAATGACCTAACTCTCCACGCCGTGATCTTATCTTGAACACGTCACGCAGAACTCATTGTCTACTTGTCACCTGTCGCAGGACTTTATATCTGTGTAATAAAATGACGAGTAAGCTGGCATTGAAAATATCTGCCAATTCGACGATACTTGAGTAATGATTCGTTATAAAATGACATGTTGTATAGATGTATTACTTTACACTGCAAGGCCTTAACTTGAGGCCTTGGCCTAGGTCTTAAGAATTGCGGAAGGGGTCAAAGTCTCGGCCTTGAAAATCAAAACCTTTGCTCCAACACTGGCTTGTATTCAGACCGACATATGTGAAATGACATAAATGATGAGGTGATCATGCGATTTTTAAACAAAATTTCAATATTCATTGACAACCCATCTAGCATCTTTATCCAAGTTACATTTTGACGATCTAAATTTGCAACCTTTTTCAAATGATAACTACAATCACTTTCTGTTCATGTAGACCTTCAAAATGCACCTTGTCTCAGTTACCTTTACTTTCAACTGTTGTTTCACAATTTTCAAAGGGTGTTTTATTGCTTTGTTTGTTTTCATGCTGACGAATATGCCCATATTCATGAGCGCAACAGTGACGCTATCCCGGAAAGAAAGCCCCAATGTAACATTGGAATGTACAAAAAGGTTACTGATGAGAAAAAGCAAGTATTAAGAAGAAGAAGCGCACTAGTGTATTCACATCAACATTTCACACAACTAAAAATGAATTATAAAATGACAGGAACAGTGCTCACTTTTAGAGAAGGCATTTGCTGCAAAGGGGCTCTCTTCACAGGTAAATGGATCTGAAGAAATTAAACACAGATCAGATCCATCCCACAACATAACATGTTATTTAGCAGAACGGTTTGGTTCCTGGTTCAACCTTCCGCTGTCATTTTATGCTAGTGAAGAACCCTCCCCTCAAAGAGGGAAAATGGCCTGTCATTCATATAATACTATGAAAGACTTCAGACATGTAGACGTGTCCAGACGTAGTCTGCGACTTTCCCATATTGATGCGCGCGTATTCAATTTACCAAGGAGAAGCTGTCAGGGAGAACGCCTGATGTTTAAGATCATTGTGTGTGTATATTTTTGCTACGTGACGCACTATTGAATTGACTTAATGCCAGTCTTTACAGAAAAACATTCTGTGTAGAATATCTGGTCAATGTTGTGTCTCATTGGTTTTGGTCTGTGCAACCTGGGAAGAATGTGGCTATTTACAGGTGTCCTAACAACTTCGGCCAGGATTGTAGGTCTTCTTGTTCATACACGTTTGTTAATTTTCACATGCAGGCTTCATGTGCTTGGGCCGAAACAAGACTGATCGACGTTGCAAAGATATTTACCTACCCACCGTTAATGAATTCTACATTCAGTGTAGCTGACTTGATGCAGTTCTTGTCACTAAAAAGATTTGCAGTGTCACTGAAAGGGTTAATTAAGTTAGATTTAGAACGCAGATTATTCCTTAGGTTTATTTCCTTATAAATTGTGAAATGCTTAAATATATGTTTATTTGCTTAGATATATATATATCTTATATGCTTAGATATCTGTTTATTTTAGCTTTTACCAAAAGACTACCATAAAATATTTCGTAACTGTTGATCTGCGTATGAAACCACCAATTGAATTGATCTTCATATATATTAGATTTACGTAAGTGAGAAGTCATTGAAGAGGTCAGTGAGACGGTGTATTAATTTCTACAAATTAATATGCTAGCAAGTATTTCACAAAGGCCTTTTTCGGAGGTGATTTTTTTAGAAGAAAACGAAAGGAAAAAATTACAAATTCTAAAATTGTTCCACTTTATTTTTCCTATCCAAGGAATACGGATGCAGGCCATCGGGGGTCAACTTTTGGGCTCTATTAGTCCATAGATGGCGCTGTATTTAACTGGCCGGGTAACCGAATGAACCATGTGTGTAAACTGTTTGCACGTCTGCAGCTGGCTGACGGAGCCCTCTAGCCTAGCCTGCATAGCAACTTAGCGGCGTTGGCATCGATCGTGGGCGGTTTGACCTGAATGCAGTTGCCCTCATCACATCCTTGGACAGTGACACTGAGCAGAACAGCTGCAGTAACCTTGACAATTTTATAAGTTCATTTTGAAACAGGTGTGGTTTATAGTTGAAACCTGCCTGAGAACTCTGTGTGAAGTTGCTCAATACACGGGTCCGTTAGTGCACCACCTGCCTACACGATAACTGATCTACAGAATACATGTACACGTACCTGTACATGTACACTGACGTATAGGCTTCTTACGGTGACCGTGTGCTTCTGAGGTGGTGTCGACCGACAAGGTATTCAGCTCAGAGGCTCAGTAGTTTTTAAGTCAGAAGTCGCATTTAACAACGGTCTTAGAGCCTGAATATTAAGTAATGTCAGATGTGATCTCTGTTGCCGTAAGTTGGATGGATGAACTAAATCATTCATTTTCTGTAGTGCAAGTGTTGTCTTTTCATAGTCTATTCCTTCCTCCATGTTCCTCTGCAGTCTATCATTGCGCTTGACAAAAAGGAAACTGAGTGGAATGTGAGATGATCGAGAGAAAGGTTTATATTCACCGATTTTACTGGAACGGTCCCGAAAAAATGCAGGAATGTAACAAGGGGACAACCGTGGTTTGATATTCCACACAGTGAACTTGCCTGTCATCTGTCATGATTTGGCGATCAGGTTGCCGGCATTATGTGGGTCATGTGTCAAACAGCTCACGAGGTTATTGTGTTTCCGCCTACGACACTAAGTCGAGCTTTTATCATGTTGTTTGTTCCAGGAAAATTTGTGTACGGGGTCAAAGGCCCATCTTTGCTAAACGATAACACTGGCAGGGGTATACAGGCTTTTGTGACTTAGTGTCAGAACTCGGTGAAAGGGAATAATCAGGCAGGGCAATTTTAGAACCTGTAAGAATTAATGTTTGTGACGTACTCTTCTTTAAAAAGGCAGCAGGTCTTTCTGGTGAGTTTCCAATCATGCTTTCTGTTTCATCGACTTTTTTGCTGAATGTGTGTCTACTTTATAGCTATCACCCTATCAGGTTTGGAGCTATTCAAAATTCTACATAAGATTGCGGTGCGAAATTCTACGTGAAAAAGGATCAAACGAGTGTTCGTGGAAATCCAAGCGGGGGTGGACCACACAGTGGGCTTAGTTTTTACTTGGCTATAGTTCACAATTTTCACCACATTCTGCAGTTTAGTGCATTGGGGAACGGTGACCCCGTGACCTATATTCTTTGCGGTATATTTGTTTGGTAAACAGAACACTTATTTATAGCTCATGCAATGAACAATTTAGACAGCGTTCCAGTTATCGTACAGTGTACTGTACGTGCCCTATCACTGACAGTTTCAAGGCGAGTTGTAAAATTTTGGCCAGTGTTGAACCCTTCATTTTATCTGTGGTGACATGCGGTAAAACAACACGTCTGACAGGAGCTGTTACAGACGTATACTAAAAAATCATTAAATAGGTAGGTTTGAATTTAGTCAGTAACAACCATTGAGGCGATCGGTGGTGTAACTGAAATGCCCTCGTTGAGTAGCTTTGGAATGGAGGACTGTACCCCGCGAGCCCCCCCCCCGGAAAATTGGGAGTTGTGAGGGGCAGCTTTTGCCACGCCCTTTGTGGTGTGTTTATTATGCGTTACTACTTACGTGTGGACATGGAGTTATTTCAGGCCACAAATCAATGTTGGCTTCCCCCCCTTCTTTGAAAATAACCATTCCCCCCCCAAGGGGTGGACACATTTTGGACACTGAAAGCAAATTAAATGTGACCTGCACATATTCTGTGTACATGTCAAATTTTTATATAGGAGGCCGGTCCAGTGGCGTATCTACCGGGGGGAGCAAAGTGCCCCTTCTGGGGATTTGTTGTCAATTTCTTGCTTAGTTTTTTTAATGAATTGGAAGTGCCAGTAGTTTAGAAAATGTTCTATCATGTATCTCTCGATGGGTGTTAATGAAGATCTTTTATGGATGAGCAAAGTTGGACTGTCACTTTCAGAAAAACTGTCATTTTCCCCTCACCCGGCACAAGGCCAGCTTGGATGCTCCTCTGCCGGGAGCACACAAACATCTGTTTGAGGGTGCAATCGCGCCACTTGCAACAATGTCACCGTGAATTTCCCGAGTTTCAAGAATTTCAAGAAATCACTCGCTGGCACTCTTTTAATACATAAACCACGCCATCGTCGTTTTTGTTTGTTTATGTACGGATTTATTTATTTACAATGTCATTCCTTTCCATTCTACAGAGGCTTTATCACTTCAAATATTCCATGTTTGCGAAGCAGTTTAATTGTCGTGTGCGAAACACCGCACTTTGGTCATCTTTGTCATCACTTATCATGATCATACGTTCGCCTATACTCACCTTTGTCATGAAAGGCTGTGTGATAACATATTTTTTGTTTTCACTTTGTCATGCGTTTAGTAATGAGTGTTCATACATTGGGGTGCCGCACAAGATGAACCGAGGCCCGAGTTGATTGCTCGAAGTATTAGCAAGCCATGGCCACCGTGAAATCTACAGCCCAGCTCGAGGAAGAGATCTTTGGAAGGTGGAAAAATGTGAAGACGGAGGGCATTAAGCAACTGCGAGAGTTGTTCAGTCTCGACGAGAGCATGGTCCCCGACCAGCCTTGGGGAGTGACCGAAATCAGCAAGGAAGCTGACGGCATCTACGCCATCGAGTCCAGCTCCGAGTGGGGCACCAACCGGATGCGCGTGGAGCTGGGCAGGCCGCACAGGGACACTGTGATGGGCCGCGAGATGGACTTAGTGGTCATCTGGGAAGGACCCCGGCTGACCACCAAGATTGTCGGCACCAACGATAACATGTTGACCCGGGAGGTGGTGGACGGCAAGCTGGTTAGTGTGGTGCATATCAACGACATTGTCGTCACCACTGTGGCCGAGAAATGTTGATCGACCGTGTAGCTGTCAACGGTCGTTCAGCCAGCCGTCCTGCATACTTTTGTTCTGTTGCAAGGATTTCAAATTGTCTACCGTTGTGATTTTTGACAGAATAATATAATTTGCCAGACACCATCTATCCGTAATGCTGCCATGAAGTAAAGCCACTAGAAAATTGAACAAACTACAGGTGGCGCCTTGAAGCAAGGCTGCTAACTAGAGAGAGTTATGACGTTGACAGGGGTGGGAATGAAAGAGGGTGGAGAAAGGTCAAAGTCGGTTCTGGTTTGATTATTTCTAAGGAAACTCAAAGGGCAATGCCGTTAAATTTCAACCCTGTTCCCCCGTCTTTCTGCTCCTGAAACATCGGTATTTTGTATTTCAGTTGGGGTACAGGGCATATAATGGAAAGTGGGAAGTTAACATGCTGTATTTTAACAACCCACCACTGTCGTGGCAGAAATCAAAGACAGGTCTCCTTTTTTTCTGATTATATTCTGGTATTTTAAGGATGGCTTCTCCGGCTTGGACTGCAGGTGGACTAGAGGAGGGGAATGCACTGAACTGTAATGCAAATATCGCAGACAGATCCAGACTGATGAGCTCAGCATCACAGATAATTGCAAACTGATGCAGATATTGCCGGGGGGTCTTGAAATGATGGGGATTCTATGGAGCTAAGGTCTGATCTATCATACAGCCTTCTAGAAAGATTGCATTTGGGGATAAAATTTCTGAAGATCTTTTCAAAACGCACAACTCTTTTGTGTGAAATTTTATTAAATGCAATAGAGAACAAATTTACTTGAACCAGGATCTCAAATATTTTTAACTTGCATTTACCTTACCCAGACTTTTTGACATCTTTACCAATTTTGTTGTTTTAATTCATACACAAGCAGCGTGCGAGTTGAGCCAGCTGTCAAACCATGGCCATCAGGTATACGAACTCATATTTCATGACAAGAGACTCTCGTCTGCAGAAAATAGCTGTATATTTTTCAGTGAGGGTGAAAGATTTGCTTCGAGATTGTGGCACTTCCAAGTGGCATTTTGCAGGAGCAGGAGCTTGAAGCCAAGTCATTGCGGCACGAAAACAACTATTTCCTTTCCGGCATTTTTTTAAATTAACTACTTTCAGAGTCCTCATTACACCTTGCCTTAATTACGCGCGATAAGGAATGATACGTGAGAGTTATTCTCATTCAAGTTATACATTTTATTCTAGTATGATCTTTTGATTTTGAAATAATATATAACAGTGCTGAGTTGTGTGCTGTTGGCCACCAAGGAAAAATTGTTCACCTGTTGTGTTGGCAGAGTCGGACGTTTGCACAAGGCGGTGTCTGTTGCTATTTTGAGTAGAAGCTCCCTTGTTTGTTATTTTTTAACGTTCGTGAGAAGTAGCTTCAAACACGAAATGAAAATTGATTCAAATGTCAATTTTTTCGATAAAACGGGCGCGGAAATTATTTTTTACTCCTCATGGAATTCCACTTTTTCACACGTATAAATTAATTTGGCCACTAGAGTAAGAAGTTTTGAGTACATTCGCATGACTCTTTGACCAATAGGGTGTCGTGATTTACGAGATGCTCGAG